CTGGTCAGCTCTCTAGAATCTCCCTGTTTATCTGCTCCTTCAAAGCTGGTTTTATCTGTGTTTTCCCGTGTCACATTTACGTGCGTGGACACCAGTAGCCCGAGATCTTGCTTCTACCCTGATATCTTTAGCTCTGTTTTGTCTTTACCATCGAACTTACTAGCTAGTGCGTGCAGTGCGCACTCAGGTTGTCGAGCACACCAGGACCCGCATGCATGTGGCCTGCCTGCTCAGCGGGGCACTCGACAGTCGGTGCCGCGACCTCATTTGCTGGGTAGTCCTCCCCTCTGGTCCGCGGTGCTGACTTGCCTGCACGCCAGGCTTTCAGGTCTGTGAGGGTCCATGTCTAGGCCATCTTGGATCCCCAGATCCCACTGCCTGTATGCAAGAGCACACACAGGTGTGCAGAACAGAGGGTTCGCTGGAGCCCTGCGTGGTCGGATCCCAGCGCTGGGAGCCCATGGGTGCTCTAGTGCACACCCACTTGGGCTGGGTTGATAGTGGGTAATTGCACGACAGGAAAACTCAGTGAGTGAAAGTATGTATGTGTAGTAAGATTCCACGCTGATGAAAAGTTAAGCAGGCAGCTAAAGAAGAGTGTATGGGGCTGGCCCTATAGTCCAGTGGTTAAGGGAACGGAATCCTGCATGGCTGTGCCGTTGGAATCCCAGTCCTGAGACTTGAGAAACATACTAGGTATGTGTGTGTGCCCAGAATCCTGCCAGGATGAAGAAATGTGGTGTGATCATGCCCTACTGAGGGAGTTCTTTCTCTCTCTCTCTGTCTCTCTCTGGTGAGGGCATGCACCCTCTGACAAAATTAAAAAAAAAAAAATCTGTCATCTTTGTTTCCTCCTGTCCTGGTCACTTGTGTGTGATACATACACATATTTTAAGTTTCTTTACTTTATGAACCAGATAACCTTTGACAGAGTCTCATCATGCTGTGATCCCTCGCCAATCCTCCAGCCAAGCAGGATCACAGGTCGACCTGGAGACAACCTGGGACCTCCCATGTTCTCTAGTGTTGCTTGGCAGCCTCTGCCACTGCGACCACATTTGGCCTGGCCTTGCCCTCTGTCAGGCGCCGGGTCGGCTCTGCAGGGCCCTTGGTGACCTCCCCACCTCCACCCACTTCTGACCTCGCTCCCACCTTACGGCACTACAGGGACTTCTCAGCACCTCTCAGTCCACCTGGGCTTCCGCCCACATTCTTCTCATTGTCCTTTCTGCCGATTCAGGTGTCCCTGAATCCCTGCTCCCCTGAGCCTCCCACTCCCACATCTCCATGGGCACCTTGTCTCGGCAGGGTCTCCTGCGTTGTCTTGCTCTCACTGCAGCCCCAGGTAGCTTGCTGTTGGCTCTGTGCCAGACAGCCTGAGGCCCTCAGCCTTCCCAGTCACTGAGCTGGATGCCTGGAGTCATAAGAATTTCTGTCCTGCCTCCTCTCTGCCCCGATGTGTCACCCCCACCTGCTTCCTGAATGTCTCTGTGCGAGTCCTCCTATTGGGCTGTCTGGAAAATCATGACACATTTTACATAGAAAACCAGGAAAGTCCATGACTTCCTCGACCTCATACCTGACCTGGACTCAGCATCACTGGCCCCCTCAGACATGTTCTGCAGTGCTCACGGCATTCCCCCCCTTGTCCTCCACGCTGTGGCCACAGTCGGCTTCCTGAAGGGTTCTGAGCCACCACTCCCTGATTTGGGACCCCGTGGCTGACCCTTGCACCCCACCCCACCCCTCCTGGGCTCTCCCCACCCAGCTTCCTCCCACCCCCGTCCTGTTCTGCACCTGCCATGGCTGGTTCCCCTGTGTCCCGTGCCCCAGGGTACTCCCTGCATGCCCACCTGGTGGCCCTAAGAGCCCAGTTAGTGCCTGGCACTCTGCAATGTGACCACGGCTTGAGAAAGGGAGGAGGGAAAGGAGTCCCATGGGCTTACCATCCTGGGGCCACCTCACCCTTCGGGCTCCTGCTGGCCCCTTTCATAGAGGCCACTTGGTGGGTCAGCGTTTGACCAGAGTTCATGGAACCTCACTGGACTTTCTCCACTCACCACTTCCAAGCCCCTTTTCAAGGGCATTTCTAGAGATGTCTTTTCTTTTTTAAAAATTTGTCGGAGGGAGGGAGTGACAGAGAGACACGGTGAGAGACAAAACAGCAGTGAGAGAAAGCATCTCCCATGGGGAATGGTCATGCCGCAATCCTTTCTCATCCATCTCTTCCTGCTTTTCTTTCTTTCAGAATTTTGGGCACACACACAAATGAATTTGGCATGTTTTTCAAGCCACTAGGTCTGAAACACGAACCATGCAGTCAGCCATGTGGGATCCAGCTGCCTTAACCACCAGACCAGGGGCATGCCTGCTGTCTTATTATTAAGCAGAGACCCCTGGAGACCAGGCTTCCTCCACAGTGGGCGCCTGTGGCCACCTGGGGCCCGTTGACTGGGGGCACACCTTCCTGGTCACTGGGTGGCTTGTCTCTGCTGCGTTTTCGTCACTCAGCTTGCCTCTGCTGGAGCTGGGCGAGGGCCCGCTTTTCCTCCTGGGAACTCGTCCACCTGTTCTTGGTGCCCGTGCGTGTGCTGCACATTTGTCATAGGGTACCCTAGATGGCTTGAATGACAGAGCTGCCCTTTCTTCAGTGAGCCAGATGGCCACCACACCCCAGCCAGCTCTGCCCGGACCTGGGGTTCTGCCTTCTGGCTCTGCCCTGGGGACGAGCAGGGGCCTTGCCAGCCGCGCAGCGTTTCCTGTAGGCACTTCCACAGCTGCCACGTGCAAGAAGCAGCGGATTATTCAGGGGTGGTGTTTTCTTGACCACTTTTTCTTCATTGCTTTTGACCAAGTGTTTAAAAATATTCCTCGGCATGTCTATAGTATTTGCAAAGCAGCAAATCCAGAGAAAAAAAATTCAGTTTCTGAGAAAGCTTCAAAGAAATACTGGTCTTTATCTTCTCCCCAGCCTTTTCCGCTGAAACCCACCAGAGTCTTTTCTGAGCACTCTCGTGCTATAAATAGAACAGCAGCTCTCCTTGGGCAGCCCGAGATCGCAGACTCTCATCCGCTTTCTGAACGGGGTGTGTGTGTGTGTGTGTGTGTGGCAGAGTGGGTTGTGTTTTAATTTTGCCTTTTCTTTTATGTGTGAAATGGGTAGTGAGAGACGCAAGAAAAAATACTCTAGCATCTGTCCTTTAAAAATAACTTGTAACTTTTCTGGGTTTTGGCTTGTTGGTTTTGTTGTCCTTTTTTTCTTCCTCCTCTTAATTTGCATGTGGGTGAGAGATGGACGGGATGACTTCCCCTGCACAGGTAAGGCAGAGGTGTGGGGGCGAGGAGAGCTGTCTTCACAGAGTCCTGTGGGTTCAGCTGGGAGAGCTGCTTGGGTGTGGCAGGTGCCCACAGGTTGGCGCTGAACACAGACAGACATATTTGCAGAGAATTTCGTCCGTGCGTACTCTGACCAGGAAAGGATGCTCAGAGACGGACCCCAGCCGCCACCCTGCTTCCATGCTGCAGACGGCCTTCCTTCCGAGCTGGGCCCAGGGCAGGCTCACTCTCTGCCCTGGATCTTCCTTGCTCGGGGAGCTCACAGGAGGCTGATGGCTGGGGCCATGCGTGCGTTCTCCTCTCGGTTGCTGGGCCATGGGTTCCTCTCTTCTTCCTCTGGCCTCCTTATTACCTGCAGGGAGGTGGTGCCTTCAGAAGCAGGTGGTCAAGTGTAAGCGGCCTACTGCATGAGGAGACCCTTCAGCGGTCCCTCCCTGGCCTTGCACCTCCAGGGACTTGGAAGGGGATGTCTTCGAACCACTAGACCAGGGCTGTTCGGTGGTGGAGAGTGGGGAGCATGTTGGAAGGGGCTGTGTTGCCTGGGAAGGGAACTGCGAGGATGTCCCATGGTGACATAAAGCCAGGAGCCTCCAGCCCTGTGCTGCCCGCTCTGGCTGCTCCACCATGGGGTGGCCCCTGGCCTGCAGCTCTGCCCCGTCTGCCCTGCCCACTCCCTCCCTCTGAGGAGGCTGACGGACAGGCCCTGGACACAGTGCCCTCCCTTGTGTGTTGGTGTCTTGGTTACAGGAGGGTCTGTGTCTGGTCCATGCTGGTTTTATGGCAGGCAGCTCTAAGTGGTGATGCCTGAGGATCGCGGACATAGCCTGCCTTTGGAAGGTGCTTCACGCGCAGAGCGGAGGAACTGGTGATTGAACAGCGCTCTGAGCGAGGCTCCGGCCGTGCAGTGTGCCCGCAAGCCCGCCCCTCGCTGAGCGGCACCCATCAGTGGGTGTGAGGACTGTGCAGATGCTGCGGGTCTTATTTTCCTGCCTCTCATGGCCACGCCGATCCTGAGCAGTTGACTTCTGAGCGCAGCAGCCTGGGACATGTGGCACCCCGAGAAGCCTTGCCCCATCATCGGCTTTGATGAGGCGAGTGGTCTTCCTGGCCCGAGCTTTGTCCAGAGCGCACTCCTGTCACAGTGTAATGTGTTGGCTTCTCGGGTTGACGGCCATGCCAGGCTGAGTGCCTTTGGCTACAGTGCCTCCCTCTCGTGGTAGGCACAGATGCAGGTCGCTGTGAACAGGGCGGCACCCCAGATCCGTGGACGTAGACAGTTTTGGCAGCAGGATCCTGAGAAATGGCAGGAGGCCAGAGAACACGGAGACGGGGCCAAGAATAGCTGAAAAATACCAAATGCTGAAGTTGGAGAATGCAGCAGCTCTGCGTCCTGGCACCCTCCCGGCCGCAGCTCCCTGCCGACCTCCAGCCTCAGTGTCCGCTTTTGCCCTGCCGGGCACACCCAGGGCACACCTGGGGCCTGTGATGCCACCTCACTCAGGCACACAGTGGCCCCTTAGAGGGTGGTGTGCCCCCGCGGGCTGGGCTGCACACAGGTCGAGGTCCGGCGAGTGCGGGAGAGCCTGCAGCCCACCGAGCACGAGGGCGCAGGGCTGCAGCGTGAGGTGTAGCGCGAGTTCACGAGTGTGTTTCTGCACTTGCAGACTGTCATCAAAGAGGGCATGCTGACCAAACAGAACAGCTCGTTCCAGCGGTCCAAGAGGAGGTACTTCAAGCTGCGAGGGCGGACGCTGTACTACGCCAAAACCGCCAAGGTGAGCGGAGTGGCGGCTGCGGGGGTCGGGTGCCCCGGCCGGGTGCCGGGCTGCG